TCATTCCCCCGAGGGATTCGAACAAAACGGTGTCCCGCGGATTCTTCGACTTGCATCGCGATACACGGGACGCAGAGGGCGAGCGGACGCTGCAAAGCGGAAGTCTTTGTCCCTTCAAATTAAAAGCGTACTTGTCGCGATTCTTAATTCGACGCTCGGTTCAGAGAATAAAGGTGGCACAGTACCTGTTGCGTATCGCAGCAACGCTGTCGAAACAATGCCAACAATCCTGTTCCCTTCGCTTTTATGTATTGCACGTCGAACATCCTTGGATATCCACGGCTGATGAATGCTGTCGGAGCGGCCTGAACGAGCGGCGTCCACGGCAAACATACCAACGGAAATGAAAGCGCCGGTGTATCGTTTAGACAGCTCTCTTAAACATCCCTGGCCAAATTCAACCAGAAATGTGTAAATAAAATGTTACTCTTCCTCGCCACCCAGCGATCTAGAACGGCCATTAATTCCACGTACCTGTCGTTCCGTCGCTTTTGTCCATGTTTTTCCACGTTTTCGAGCCACGTACCGTTTCATATATCGGGAAAATGACTATCCAAAAAATCTTACCGCAAGTTCCTATATCTGAAATATACATAGAACACTCGTATCGTGGAAAACATGATTTCCTTTTTCCAGGAAACATTTTTGTACAGAAAATATCGGGAATCCACTTGCAATTAGCTTTGTCTAACAACGGCCGGTTTAATTCGTTTTCATCCGATCGTAGTTATAGCACGTATCGTGTACATTTTGAACGATACAGATCAATTTGCAACCGTGTCTCGCGCGAGGCTGTCGAAACTTGGCGCGCGATAAAAGATGCAAACGGTCGGTGGGTAATTTCGCCTGCAAGTTGCAGCGAAGAAGGTGGAAATTTCGCATTAACGGTCTCTCGACGCCAACCGGGTTTAGCGGGCCCATTCACAGACGCGATCCGAACGAGTCAACTGCGAAATTCTAACTTGCTGTGTGTTGAATAGGCAACCGGCAATGTTGTTATTGAAGTTTTAACATTATTGTCTAATACCGCGGTTCGACTTCGCGTAACATGTTCGGTAAACGCAGTTCGACGCGAGTTGCAGTCGCGCGAGGCGAAGTTGTCGAACGATAGTCCCGTTCGACGAACGACTTCCTTTCAATTTTGCCCGATTCGATCGATCCTCCCCTTCCCTTCTTTGTTTCGTAGATGGGAATTCGAGTTGAAGACCGGCGCGGAGAACGGCCTGCTGCTGTACAACACCGGGCAATCGTCGTACGCCGATTACCTTGGGATCGAGTTGTTCGAGGGTAAAATTCGACTTCTGATGAACAAAGGGAACGGGCCGACCGAGTTGATACACGGCACGCCGGTGGCGGACGGCAAGTGGCATCGGGTGGCCGTTGATTTCAATCCGAGCGGAATCGGGATCACGGTCGACCGTCAGGAAAAAACGATCGCTCTGCCGTCCGGCGGAAATCGTTACCTCGATCTGGCCGACATCCTGTACATCGGCGGCACCGAGCTGAATAAACGCGCCAGAGCACTCGGCAAGGGCCTCAAGTCCGGTGACGTGAGCTACAAGGGCTGTCTGCGAAATATGCTGCTGGATAACAAGGAGCTCGGTCTGGCGGACGTTAAAATCAGTCAGGGTATCGTTGTTGGCTGCGTTTGGGGATTTCCCTGTATCGAGGCTGATCCCTGTGTTCCCGAGGCAGTTTGCTCGCAGCTAGGTGTCAGCTCGTTCAAATGCAACTGTGATCAACCACTGTGCATCAAGCCGAACTACGCCGAGGATTACAAGGTAAACGTCGACCAATTCCCTTCGACGAATCCTCATACTTTGCAGCCACTTCTTTCACGCCTTTTCCTGAAACGAAGTAAACTCGATACACTTTCTCTTTCGTTTTTGTCGTTTTCACATTTGCCAGTTTCATTGCGCAGTTTCAAATTGCCCCGATTATTAAATTCGGTAGATCTACTCGAGAGCAAATTTACCGGTGAACTTGGAGATACTCTCGCTGAGTCCCCTGATGCTGTCCGAAGGGGGACACGCGCTGGTGACGAGCGATAACATAGCCATGGTACTAGACATTGCTAAATATGGCGTGGAAGAGGACGGTGTTATCTTCACCTTGGTAACCCCGCCCACGTATGGTACTCTGGCCCTGGACCTTTTAACGACCAAAACCGACCATTCCTTCACTCTTCAAGACATTAATCGAGATAAGGTAATGTCTTCCTGCTTGGGCGTAGAATACTCTGCCAACATTCGTAGGATCGTTGAGAACGATCTAACAGGTAACCGATAAATTCGAGCACAAGCACAAAGAAACATGGAAAATCATATGTTCTTCCAGTTTGTCATAAGGCCACGAGCTATAGATAGTCCGCGACACAAGTACTAACTTTAGAATCGTGGGGGGGCCGCGTGGCGGACTCGTGTCGTCAGAAATCTCGGTTGTCTGTTCCTCTTCTGCATGCACCCGATTTATCCAACGACACCGGATCTATTTATAAACATCACCACCGTTTATTAACAGTTCCTTTCGGAGGTGGAAACTTTTTATCCGTTAAACGATCCCCCTCGAGGTTTAAGTAAGCGGAATTTTATCAAAAAATCCCGGCAGTCAGAACGAGAAGAATCCGCGTGTCGATCCAGTATGCTAATCGCCGATTTATAAACTGGCCCCTGGCCGCTTTAATTAATTTTAACTGCGAGCAGACGGCAGATTTAATACCGGCAATGATTCACCGACCGGGGAAAAACGCGAGGGGAAAGTCTTTAAGGAAATTTAATTTTAAAAAGGCAAGTCACGCGGAAGATACGAGTTTCGTAATATTAAGGGAATTTATTGGTTCGTTAAGAATATCGTCGGCGTTGCCGCAGAGGGGATTGGAAAGTTCACCTCGCGAACGCATCATCCGCTGGTCGTGAATAAATCATGAAATAAGATGAAATAAATGTCTCGTTAACGGCCAGTCTGCCGACGATTTTTCCTTCGAGTTTTTCGCGAAAGTTAGCATGCTCGATCAGTCGTAAAGATCAACGACTGCCGACGTTGTTATAAAGCGTTGTCGTTACATATTTACACGGCATCACGGTAGGGAGACATACATATTCATAAGTACTAGAAACATTGTTTACCACGCGCTACATTGTCTCATTATTGCGATGAAATTCCTTGGCAGATACAATACATGCACGACGGCAGTGAAACCACAGAGGACAGTATGATCCTGGAAGTGACATTAGTGGCGGGAGCTGGTTACACATTGCCAGGCTATCTACGAGGACGACTTAGGTTTCCGCTTCATGTCAACATTACGCCCGTTAATGATCCGCCGTTGCTCGAAATATCGACCGCGAAAGTTCTACGTCTCGCCCAAGTAAGACACAAAGACCTCTATAATTCATCTACCGAACGAGCCAAGATTTTTCACTCTAGCAACCAATCCCCCAATGCCGAAGGCTCGAAAGCACGCGAACCTAATTGACGCGAGATAGTCTGAATGCCTCCCGCTGCCTCGCTAAATCAATTAATCGGAGAATTGGAGAAATTGTGGCCTGTTTTTAGTGTTCGTATCTTTGGACGAGCGTGGCGGCCGAGTCGTAACGAAATCGATTTAAGTCGCTCAAGCCGTTGCCCCTAATTAACCACTCAGAGTTGCCATCCTCTTAAATGAAATAATTTCTTTTCATCGTGAAGATCGACCCCCGTCCTGTGTGGATCCAACGGAAAATTCACTTACGTTTCTAATTTTTTTTTTATTTTATTCGTTTATAACAAGTACAATCGAATTGCTCCTCCTTCTCTTCTTTAGCCTAATCCGATTATTATTAATAAATATTTAATCGACTTAATCGTTTAATGATTCGTAGGGCACGAGGAAAGTCTTGACGAAAGAATTAATTTGGGCGATCGATGCCGATACGTCGTCAGACATGTTAGTTTACACGGTCTTACGTACCGACGCGGATGCTGGCTATGTGGAAAGAGTAACTTACCCGTCGCGACCTATCGACACGTTTACCCAGGCTGAATTGATGCAAGGATTAATTGCATACGTACACCGCGGAAATGGTAACAGCTTCATCGATATTCACTATACAATACAAACATTATTGCCGTTTAATTACCGTCTATTCGGTAGCTATATCAATGGTTTGTCGATGATTGAACCATTCACTTGAATTGCGTTTTTCAGCAAAACCGAACACGAAGCTCGATCTCCGGGTGAGCGACGGTATAGAAAGCAGCCAGCCAGCGAGTCTGAGGGTGGCGGCTCATCCCTTGGAAATCAAGTTGATGCACAATACAGGACTGGTCGTGGTGCATCGGTCTTACTCGTACCTGACACCGGCGAATCTCTCTTTCACCACCAATTCCGACGACAACACTATTGATATATGCTACGATATCGTCTCACAGCCGCAATTTGGCACGATTCAAAAGGACGTCACGAGTAGCTGGATGAACGTCGATCATTTTACCAGCAGGGATATTGAACTGCACGCGATACGCTACCTTCACAACGAGGGCAGCCCGAACCAAGACGAGTTCAAGTTTCAAGTGAGCGTCAGGGAAGTAAGGGTGCAGCACACCTACGATTTTCGCATCACCTTCATCGATCTTGAGCTGAAAGAAACGAAAAGAGTACCGATTAACTTCACCAACGTGGCAGAGGTGACTGTCACCGGGCAGAATTTGCGATACCAAACGAATCCATTGATAACCGCGTTCAACAAGATCGCGTTCACCGTAACAACGGGACCAAGGTACAGTAATCTGTTCCTTTCGAGTCGGAGATTAGAAACTGGCGACACGTTCACGCAAGAAGACATCGACTCCGGTAAACTGCGATATCGACTGTTCAAAAGAGCCTATTCCACTATCCTGGATGAATTCGCCTTCAAAGTGAGCGCCCCGCAGTGCATCGATTTACACTCGAGCCTGAAGTTTAGGCATTACCTCAGCAAGAACGTAAAACCTTTGGACAGCGTAGAAACTCTGAGGGTCGACGAAGGTTCCAGAGCGCCTTTAAGAATTCTACGAACGAATCCAAAGGATTACGGAGTTACGTCGCTGATGTACAACTTGACGATAGTTCCGCATCACGGTTGGTTGACCGTCACAAACAACTCCAAGTTTCACTCTCGCAACAACACCTCCTATTTTACTTCCGAGGAACTTTCGTCCCAAAAAGTCTACTACGTTCACGATGACTCGGAGACTAGGGAAGATTCGTTCCAGTTCGTCGCTATTGCCTCGGATGCGGTGGATTTTATGTACGTTAGCCTGTTCCGCATCGAGATCACGATGAAGAACGACAATGGTCCAGAACGAGTGATTCACAAAGTGTTCCACGTGGTCTCGAAGGGCGAGAGGTTACTGACGAACAAAGATCTCGCGTACATAGACAAGGACATCGATACGAAGCCCAGCGAGCTGATCTACACGAGAAGAGATACGCAGAAGAACGGAATATACAGGGTGACCAATCCCACGTCGCAGATACACGAGTTCAGTCAACAAGACATCGACGACAATCAGATACTGTTTAAACATCAGGGCGAGGACCACGGAAAGTTCGAGTTCGGTGTAACCGATGGTCATTTTTACACGGCTGGCGTCCTCGAAATTCAAGCCAGCCCTCCTTACGTGAGGTTGAGAGAGAGCAACGGGTCCGTGGTGCAATTTAATCGATCGGTTTCTCTTCAACCGAACGAGTTCGATGTTGAAACGAACGTGTACATCTCCGACAAGGATATCAAGTACGCGATCTTAGAGAAACCAAAGCACGGAGTGTTGTTGAAGCACGGCAGGGAGACGAACACGTTCAACAAAGAGAATCTGCGTTACGGTATAATTTTGTACAAACATCTCGGAGGATCTTTGGCGAAGGACGACTTTAGATTCAAAGTGTCGGCGAAAGGAGCAGAGGCAGATGGAACATTTCTAATTAACATTTATCCTGAAAGCTATTGGCAGCCGTTGATCGTGCAAAATAATAAAACGATATTCGTGGAGGAGGCCACTAGTATTATATTAAGTAGAAAGAGCCTGGAGATCATGCATCCCAAGATAGCTGATTCTGAAATAGTTTATTTTCTGAAAGAGTGGCCGCAAAATGGATATCTGGAGCTACAGATTCACGACGAGCACAGCGACGAGACTCGAGAAGATTACATCGGAAACGCGGTGAAGTCTTTCGATCAAAGCATGATAAACGAGGGTCGCGTGTTCTACGTACAGTCCGTGATAAATCAAACGAACGACAAATTTGTCGTCAACGTAACGAACGGGATAACGTGGCTGCGTGGCCTTTGCGTGAACTTCGTGATCGTTCCGGAAAAGCTTTACGTCGAAGCAAAGGGCGTTGTCGTGATCGAGGGGAAGAGTATCATTCTCGGCGAAACGAATTTCTCTATTCTAACACCTTATTATTCCGGCAAAGTGACGGACTACAGAGTTCTGGAAAAACCGAAACACGGCATGATTTTGGAATCGACCAAGAATTCTCAGGTGAAGAATTTCTCGCAGAAACATCTAACCGGTGGAATAATATTGTATAAGCATAACGGCGATGAATCTTCGAATGATTCGTTCAAGATGATGCTCGTTGCCGACGATAAAATCAGCGAACCCTTTGACGTTTGGGTCACGGTACAACCCGTGAACGATGAAGTACCTCTACTCGTTAACAGGACTAAATTAATCGTTTGGCAAGGTGGTTCGATCACGTTAACGCCTGATCAATTAGCGGCTGTTGATAATGATACCGCGGCGCGTGATATAATGTACAACATCAGTGGAGTTAGAAACGGATTGATTTCGTTAAAGTCCTCTCCGAGGGTAGACGTTTATAGTTTCACGCAGGAACAAATCGACCAGTCGAAAATCATGTTCACCCATACGAGTAAGTGTTGCGCATCTTATGATGAGGAATTTTCTGCGACTTACTCATAGACTTCAATCTCTTAAAAGATTTTATGTTTCAGACGGTTCCGACGCTGAATTCAATTTCGTGTTATACGACGGAGTACACACCACGGAACCTTATACGGTATTGGTAGCTACTAAACCTGTTCGATTGATCATCGAGCAGAACGCTGCACCAAATGTTTTTCCATTAACGAGAAAAATGATAACGAGCAAATTACTGTTAACGAGATGTTCGGACGAATCTCGAGAAATAAAATACACGGTACGAAACGGACCGCATCTCGGTAGGATCATCATGGAAACAAGCGAGGGCGCGTGGTTGAATGTCGATCGGTTTAAACAAAAAGATATTAATAATAGCAAAGTTTTCTACGAACACACCAAGCAATTTATGGACTTGACCGCCAACGATTCATTTACGTTCGACGTGGAAGCACACTTCGCGGAATCCTTAACCAATCAGGCAAGATTATAATTTTAAAACTCATTGAGTATCACATCCACGTGTGAGAAATCTTCTTTGTGAACCGTGTTGTATTTTCCATTGTAGGTGTTTCAAATAGATATTTCAGTCTCCAGTGGTGGTCTAGACAGATATATCTCCATAAAGAACGTGAGAGTCCAAGAGGGTGGTTCGGCTCAAGTTATCATGAACATCAGCGGGATCGTGTCATTTCTTCAAACTCACGCTGGTATCGAGAATCCAGCGGTACTCTCGCGATTGGTCAGTCAACCGAGCCACGGCCACGTGATGATTCTACCAGATTTGAATGTCACCACTTTCTCCCAGCCGCAAATCGAAGGTGGAAAAATCGCGTATTACCACGATCATTCGGACACGTTGGAAGACCGCATCAATTTTTCTCTTTACCTGACTCCTGGTCACATCCTCCTATGCAACACTAGCATCCCGGTAATAATCGAGCCAGTGAACGACGAACCGTTCAAATTAAACACGAACGCGCCGTCCATTACGGTGGTTCAAAATCAAAATCAGACGATAACCAAAGAGAACTTACTGACAACTGATCCAGACACGCCGCCAGAAGAAATTGTATACGACGTGATATCTAGGCCAACGTACGGCCGCCTATTACTTCTACCATTCAACGAAAATATCTCGGAGGTTCGTCAAGTGAACAAATTCACCCAACACGACGTCGATTCCAATCGGCTAGTATATGAACACAATGGGCCTCTTCAAGCGGCTTCCTTTTACTTCCGGGTATGGGATGGTCGTTTCAATCCAGCGTATACGGTGTTCAACGTGTACGTTTTGCCTATCAAACTGAATGTTACCGTTCCAAGTCCCGTGAATCTGCAACAAGGCTCCAATGTGGCTCTAATCTCCGAAAATAACGTAAAACTCGACACTAACGCGAGGCAAGATCTAATCATTTACGAAGTAACGACGACTCCAAAGTACGGAGTGTTGTACGTACGTGACGAAGCGGCGGCTAGCTTTAAGCAAACAGATTTGCTGTCGAAAAGCGTGATGTTCATGCAAACAGATATGACTGTATCGAACGACAGTCTCGAATTGACCGCGCGACTGAGCGGATTCGAACAGAAAAACATTAGAATCGAGATCAAGGTAGTACCCCTGATGATTATGAATTCTATGGTCGCTCTGACAGGCGAGAAGACTAGAATAACGTTACAACACATGGACGCTACACCATTGGCTAAGCTAACGAGCAGCAATCCCACATATACGATTATAAAAAAACCGAAATTTAGTAAGATAAAGAGAATCATCAGAAGTTCTTCGTCTTCCGGTGAGAAACGAGGAAATCGTGAGAAAGAAGTGACTAAGTTCTCTCACCAGGAAGTGATGTCCGGCGTGATTTACATGATTTGCAGAAAAATTCCAACGATGGAGTACGAGGGAATATTAGATAGCTTCACGTTCGTTTTAGCGGCCTCTATTTTTCAACCAGCCGTCGGTGACTTCGAATTTCGCGTGAAACTCGACATAGACGAGTATAATATCACGCTGGGTGCTCCAATGGACCCAGTGGGTCACGAAGGTGAAAAGTTCCCGCCGCATATGAAAAAAGATTATTTGTTAGTCATAGGGATGTTACTTGGCTTAGTTTTACTCATTGTAGTAATGGTCATTGTCATGATAATGTGTAAACTGAACAAATACAAATACAAACATACCGAAGAGGAAAAACCAGAACCGACTCCGGCGGTCGGTGTAATGCCTCTTCCAAGACCTCCGGATCACTTGATGCCTGTAACACCTCATGTAAAACGTTACGCCAACGATCACAATAGCGTGGCAGCCAGCACGCCATTACCAGTTCTACCAACGATGACGTCCACCCTACCTCAATGCAAGGTGATACCTCTGAATCCCTTGGAAAGTATCACAGGATCTGAAGTGGATGTTTCAGCAAAGTATCCGTACGGCGTCGTGGATGGAGACGAATGGAGCAGCTTCGACACGTCCGATCTACCTTGTCAGTCGGCCACCACACAGCGGACCAACAACCCCTTGCTAAGAAGAAATCAGTATTGGGTCTAGCAAAAGGAGGGCTGTTCGCGAATTAAAGCGAAACAGGCCGTAACACTTTCTCAAACTTGAAGACTGTTTTTGTTACGAAACTCTTGAGACTAGTCGTCGATTAACTATGGTCTTAATGTGCCTAAAGAAATAATAATTGACTCTGCGAAATGGGAATATTACCGAAAGCCTCGATTTTATACTGAAACCTTGACGGAAACTCTGTTTCCCGACACGCTGTTGCGTAATACGAAGCCTCGATAAGAACACGTAGCCAATTACGTTGTTAATAATTAACGATTATTCATTGCTCCGTATATATTAAGATTGTAGGTGATCATTAACAATAAGTCGAGCATCAGAGTTTCCATCGATTCTTTCGTTCTCTTTTTTCACATCATAAATTCTGACAAGAACACTAATAATAATATTCGGACTAGTAAAGGAATATCTTTTTGCGTGGTTTGCACGTAAAATGTGTGGTAATATCTTGTTAGTACTGCAATCCCTACGATTCTGGGTGAACTCGTTAAATATAAAAAAATACAAACCCAAGACTATCATCGCTATTATCGATCGAATGTGCCTAAGATATTATCTCTCAAATTTTGTAAGAATTTTTCCACGAAGCCTGCACGATGTCGATTTCACTGTCGATTTCCTCAGTTGGATGAAAAGGAAGTTCGAGATTCAAAACGGCCGACGTCAATCCGGTCGATGATCGTTTTCGAAGCTCGTTTACTTTCAGCCAAGTCTACGTCACTCAGGATATTTCTCTTTCAATGCTTCGTAGCGTCATCCCTCCTTCATCGATACATAAGTATCGTTCTTTTTTTTTTTTTTTTTACGAAACCTAAAAAAGAAAACCATCGTTATTATACACAGTCGATAGAATATCGAGGGTAAATGAGACGGGAAATATTAACTCGAGAACATCAGAGGTATTTAGAACTATTGCCAGACGCAAAACGTTGCGCATACTCGCTCGAAGAGATTTTGTAAAGGAAAAAAACTACAAAAAGGACTGCGCATTTCAGGTTTATATACATATAACAAATATATAAATAGGGGTATTCGCAACTTTTCTAAAAAACAAAAAAAAAAAAGTATATGCACATTCAAAGCACGCAGTACAACCAGAAATACTCCAGTTTTCGCACATATCTTTTTTACATAATTCCCGCGTATTTGTACTAATCTGCGTCGACGTTTTTGAATTTCATTATTCATTACATCATATGAGGTTGCTCCCGTTTCTTTCCGAGACACTATCTTACCATTCGAGCAACAATTTTGCACACAATAAAGACAAAAGAGATTCGTCGTAATTCGAAGAAAGAAAAATAATTCGAAAACATATATGAAACATTTTTTTCTGTCCCTAGGAAAATAACGATGTCATTTTCTGCATACCAAAACACTTGCTATTTATCTCGTCGACGTCGTGACGGTTAAGTTCATTGGAACTTGTCGATCGAACATGATCCTTTTCGCGAATCAATTTTTCAACTTACAGCAACGACAGATTTTGTTATTGCAGGATCCGTAACCATCGGCCGACGTATAGAACGCACAATAACGATTCGCAAATTCTCTCTTCAGTATTAAGATAAATTAATAAATCACTTGATCAATCGACAACGACTTGTTGATTCGCGCGCTCGCCGATTTTTCGAGGAATATTTAAATGTTTGTGTCTCTTAGAGCTGCGCAAACTCACAGTGACCTTAACCATGATTTCTATTAAAAAAGAAAAGAAAAAAAAAGAAGAAAAATCCTAGGAAACGTATAATTAAGAAAATGCTCCAACGTCGATGTTAATATAGTGATAATGATAATAATAACGATAATTATTATTATTATTATATATAAATATATAAAATATTTACACTCCTACATAGAAGACACTGTTTCGTAAATTCGCAGGCATACGCATTAATATGATAGTTCCGATCGTGTGGCGAAAAGAGCTAAGACATTTTTAACAGAGATACGTGTGTTGATTAATGAATATGTTAGAAACGAACAGTTAGGCTTTTTTACATCCTCAAAATGAACTGATCCGAGTGCCAAACTTCCATATTGTGTAACATATAGTTATATAGGATTGTATTTTCCCTGCCGACTGAATGCATTACTCTTATAATTCAAATAAACTGAATGTGCGATGTTATACAAAATGTAACGAATCATAATCATATTTATATATCTGGCTGTAATTAATTCATCCTTAATGGTAAATGAATCTCGCCTATCGAAGAAAGTAGTATAATTTCACGTGCATGAACATTTTTTTTTATTTGCCTTGTAGCTCTTCAAGTATATCATATTTTATAATAACGATACTCCAACTAGAAACATTTATACAAAAAAATAGATACGTCATATCGTTTTTAGCCTTTATTCCTAATTTTGTAGTGATGTAAGTTAGGAAATTTTTGAAAAGTAGCAAGATTTCCGGCACAGACGAGGAGATGAGGTATATGAAGACCGAGCATCTTATGGAATTTCGTGACCAGTGATCTGAAATACCGATATAATAAAAAACTCACTGATTTTTTTAATCACTCTACCTTTAAACAACGGTAAGTTGGGGAACTACTGTATCATAAAACGACCGAAGTTGGTCAAGAAGTAAATGCACCAGAAACACGACTTTTGATACCCATTACAGTGTTGTCCACGAGAAATATTTTTCGATCGATCTTATAATTTGTACCTGAAACAAATCTAAGAAACTGAAAAAGATTAATAAAATCTGTGAAATATAACTATTACTTGCAGTTAGATGAAACATTTTGTTGAAACAATTTTTTCCACTTTTAGTCACTTTCTTTGAAAAGCTCATATTCCATCATTCTTCAGTGTTATCTTATTTACACATCTTTAGTGTATATTTTCAGTGTATATCTTCAGTGTATATTTTCTGTAACTAATACTCTCTGTAAGTTAATGTATCTGAAACAAACTTATATATTGGATTAGTGTTATAATTGAAATAAAAAGACAAAATAAAACATCTGCAATGAAGACATATTACACACAAAAAAAAAATCAAATTACCGTCAAAATACTACTTTAATTGAATTAAATTATATTTTTACTCAAAATTATGAAAATTAAAAGCAAAAAATTCTAGTGATTGGATTTAAATTAGACTGAGTAAATCAAAAATTGAAGATTTATCTTTGATACAAAAATAAAAGAAGATTCGATTAAAATCACATTTTGACTTATTTTTCAACTTTTATTTATTCGTTATGTAACACGAAAAATAGAAAGAATTGCGAAAAATACGTTCATTGCAAGATTTTTGTTACAAATAAACGACGATCGCTAATAAACTTTGATTTATTAACGCATACGAAATTCGAATATTTATAAAATTCTACTTTATTGTTAAAACATTTAGAATAGAGAAAATAAAAGAAAATAATAAAATAACTCTGATAACAAAAAATCATTATTATTAATTCTAATAACGAAAAATCATTACTATTGATTGAATTACAATAAATTGGATATTAACTCATACTAAAATAGATTGATATTCTACAGAGAACTATCGATTTAATTATTTTGTGAAAAAGAATTTTAAATTTTCATTGTAATATTTAAATATTTAATTGTAATACATTTCTCACTTTATTTTATATATACACGTGACTCAAATCAGTTACACTTTCACATATGGGGACACATTAAATTTATAATTTAACGAAGTTATAGCTAATAAAAATATATATTTTTTAGCAGTATTTTCAGTAATCAAAGCAGTAAGAAGTGCTGAAAAAGAGAATCTAACACAGTGACCAGAAGAGCTACTAACAAAAAAAATCTAAAACAGTAGCCAGACGAGCCACAAAAGAAATTGTAATAGCCAGAAGGGAATTTCCTCCTCAACAATACAACAACCAGGACTACCACACAATTATACCGTAACACTAATTCACTAGCATCAATTGAGAAATAGAACATTTTCAAAACGCAAAGAGTGGTCCTGAGAGTAAATACGCAACGATATTAATCTATGCACTCATACTTAGAAATATGCAACACTAATTGCGACGTGTCCAGTGCAAACTACATGAATTACAACTAAATGAATGACTACATTTGTACAGCTCTTAAAGCTACATCATATGATCCAAAAGCAGGAATAGCCTTCTACGAATCCAGTGGAAGAATTTGAGCATCTTATAAACGCAACGCAAAACTTCAAGATCATTCATTATCGTAACAGGAAGAGAAAAACTAATTGGAAATCGCGATGGAACAATATCGCAACACTATTATAAGAGTAAAAGTAATTGAAAATCACGATGAAATAATATCACTAACTAATCACAAAAAAAGCTACTTCGAATATTCTAACATTATAAAATTAGTTAAAAGCAATGGCCTATAATCTAATTCAAAATGATAGAAAACGAGATAAATTTTACTACTCTAAATTTTGTAACTCCAGGGCATCTATAAAAATTCATAATCAAAATTGTAAAAGACAATCGCGGTATCATAATTCGAAACTCTGAAGCAAACACGATCATTTTTTCGCAACTCTAATTTAAGCCGTAATCAATCTCTCGCAATATTAACAAAAAACCGTGATACGTCCAAAACGATGATGAACGATCGATGGAGAAAAAAAAAAATACAACTACAAATACTAAAAAAGCACAGTGACAAAGTAATAACGAGAATGACTTCCCATGCTCTGGAATCAATTGAATGATCCAGAAGATGAGAAGCTATTTGTTGTGACCCTCTTCGTGGCAGTTTGCCGGGCCTCTTCGGCTTTTAGCCTTTTCTTTCTTCGAGCGCAATGCCCGCAGAAACTTACGTTTAGTTCGAGTTTTCTAATAGCAAAATAAAAAATAACTTATAAAGGTGAAATGAAAAGATAAATCGTGGAAGCTGACTCCAATACATGAACGACTATCGATCATAGTGATCGTTCGCATATGCGTGCTCGAGCAATACCTGAATAAACGTTCGTTTCGGGATTTACTCGCGACTTATCCGCGACCACGACCGCGATACAAATTGGCTTTAAAGCCACCGTTGGAATTTTCCCCAAGAAATTGTTGCTGATATGAAGCGTCTGTAATAAAACGTTGTACTTTGTCATTAAATTTGAAAAATTAAATAAATTAAGATACAATATATAGCTATTTACGTCATTTATCTTGATCTCCTGGAAATCTTTTGTTTTTTGGAGATCTTTTGTTGATTTTGTACTTGAAACAAATCTAAAAAACTGAAGTAAAGATACAGTGTTATTTACGAAAAT